GCAACTTCCGGGCAATATGTTCATTATTTAATCAGTAAATTGCTCACTGAATATAGTTTTTTTAAATACGATTAGTATAAGTGGCCGCCTGGACGATGGCCATGTCATCTTCATCTTTAGGTTCACAGGCCACCATGTAATTTCCTTCTCTCAAGTCAATAGATTATGCAGAAGGACTTGGTTCAGAAGGGAAATGTAGAACAACTAAATTAATAACAGTATTACCTAATTATTGCTATGAGGTGGACGAGTAATTTTGACTCCAAATTAAAAAAAAAAAATTATAGATATTTATACCCAAATATTCTATTAGATCATAATACGTTAAAATTAAATGCAGTTGGTTAATTTTAAATATTAAATGAAAAGAATATTAAATTTATAAAAATTGGTTAAGTGAGCCACATATTGTTTGATAAGATAGATAGATTAAAATCTATTTTAGTTGTTGATAATCGGAAAATTAATTTATATAATGTAGACTCAAGAATGCAGGACTAAAATAAAATAACGTGTAACAAAATGCAGTCATTCTCCTTTTGTTAAATTTTCATTGAAAAATCGTTATTTTATCTGTAAAAACTAAAAATTACAAATAGATATCCCTTATAAATTTTAAAAAAATGGCCTTACAAAATAATTATCTTAGTTTTAATATTTACTTTTAGCTCTTCAAAGAATATTAAGGCCTTTTCTGCAAAAACTGAAACATAAAGGGAGCAAAAGCCTCGCTTGTGACTGATCACCATACGGCTTTGCCAGCTGCCGCTCCGTGTGGCCGAGTAAATTATAATGCAGTTCCATTTTCTTATGATTTTGTAATTTAGTCCTTCTTATTTGGAAGATCGTGAATCAACTCTTTTAGATCTGACTGTTAAATTCTTTATATACCTAAATTGCCCTCTCGAAAATGCGGTTTAATTTTTGTTTGTAATAGATGATATTGAAAAATTGGACTAAAAATGGAAGACATTTTATGAAAAAAATTATTTATTTCTCATGAAAAACGTACTAACGGAAATTTTAAACTAAAGAAATTTGCTAATTATTTTACTAAAAATATAAAAATTAAATAATAATTTACTCACACAGCTAACGTCACTATTATATATATTTCTTTTGGAAACAATGACTCGGGTACGTACACTACTTGACTTATTTTGAATGCTTCTCGTATTGCTGAAAAAATACACTTATTCTGAAAGCTGTTGGCCCGTCCACCTCAGAAGACAACACCATCCAGGAGGTTTATTTATTTTATGTATGTATCATATAAATCAAATTGGAATTCTAAATGGATCGAAGTTAATTAAAAGACCTTAGGGTGGAATTCATGATCACTTGCGACTACTCCTTCAACCCTCCTATCCCTTTTTTTTTTTAATGGAAATCAAATATCATCGTTACCAGGATAAGCATCGATGGTCAATTGGAGGTATGGAACCATGTATCACTAATATGCTACAAGGAGGGAGGGTCTGAAGCCAAAACTATAGCTGAATTCAGAATATCCGAATTCTCCATCTCAAATGCACAAAGCAAGTTCCCTGCCATTGGCGGTGACACATATGCATATATCAAAGGTAATTATGGTAAGAATAGTTTTAGTGCTGAGTGCATGTCAATATGTGAAAGACATGATGTAGTAGATGTGTCTTGCTCTGGCAGTGGATGTTGCCAGATAGAAATTCCTGTTGGACTTGAAGACATCACCGTGAAAGCTTATAATAGCTTTAACAATCATACTAAGAAAACTGATTTCAACCAATGCAGCTATCCTTTCATTGTCGATCAAAGCCAATTTGTTCTCTCCTCTGATTATCTTTTCAAAATATACCAAGTTTCCAATGATGCTTGACTGGACAATAAGTATTGAAAGGTTGCGAAGGGGCTAAGACAAACATATATATCCAGCTATGCTTGTAAGCAGAAGGCCGACTTTTATGATCCCAGCATTTCTGGCTCTCGTTGCAGGTGCTTGGATGGTTACGAAGGTATTTTGCGGATTTTTTTGGTATCTCCCTCAGTTAATTAAAAAAACTTTGCAATAGAAGAATAAAAAAATTATTGCAAATTAAGAAAACAAAATTGCAAACTCAACAATGCCCAAAGTTTAAAAAATAACTTCGTTTATTGATGAGAATAATTAATGTTTACAAAGTGAGATTTTACCTTCATATATGATATTTTTTATAAAAATTTAATCAAAGATCACAAATACCCGAATAGATTATAGATATAGATTGTAAATACAAAATAGAACTAAAGAGTCAAACAATCGATCTATAAATTTATCAATTTACTTTAATTATTACTTACAAGTTATTGCTTACCATCCATCATATAATAAGTTTTAAGTGAGTTGAAACTTGCAAATGCTATGAAAGCTTTCTTGTTGTTGCAATTATTGTTAATTTGATCATAGTCTTTTTTGTCCTCATGTGACTTGCATTTATAGACTTCTACTCTTCTAATTTTTTTTTTGTTTTTTGTAATGCTTTATGTTCTCATGCATTTGTTGTGATCGTGTCTTATTTTCTTTTGCAGCTATCTTTGTTTTTTTCTAATTATTGGAAAGTATAATCTAGGTAATTATCTTGTTATAATCTGACTCATTTATTTTCATGTAACTGTTAGGCAATCCGAATTTGAGTATAACAGAAGGGAACCCTAACTGTGACGAAATGGTTACCAAGGTACCTGATTTATTCCATCCGTCAAGCTCAGAAAGTAACGGAAAATACGAAAAATTTCGACTACCATCATTTTTTTTTATTTCATTTATGCCTAAATATATCTGTGATATATATTGAATACTTGAATTATTCATTGTTTTCAGATATTGATGAATGTGAGGATCAGAATCGCAATAAGTGCTCGTATAGTTGTGTTAACAAAGAAGGAAATTACACATGCGCTTGTCCCAAGTGGTACCGTGGTGATGGAAGAAGAGTTGAAGAAGGCTGCATTCATGGTTTTTTCCTTCTTATAAAAGTCTCTGTTGTTAGTATAACTTTTTAAACTTGGTGTGCTTTGAATGTACTCGTAAATTTTGTAATCGATCATGAGCAGGTTGAGAAGAATCCATACAAACAAAATAAATTTTTTTGAACATTTCCCTTGATATATACCAAATATAACTTGTTTGGAACATAACTTCTTTGACATGTTGTAACTTGATTCGATTGCAGGTTTTGGAATTAGCTTTATAGTTTTGTTCGTGTGTAACTCTTGGCTCTATTTGGTTTTCAAGAGAAGAAAGCTCATCAAGCTTAAAGGAAAGTTCTTTCAGAAAAATGGTGGCTTAGCTCTACAGCAGCGACTCTCTACAAGAGATGGGTCTTCCAATATGATCAGAATCTTCACTGTAGAAGAGCTTGAGAAGGCCACAAACTGCTACGACGTGGGAAGTATCATTGATCAAGGAGGATATGGCACTGTAGACAAAGGGGTTTTAACAGATGAAAAGGTAATTGCTATAAAGAAATCTAAGCTAGTGGACCAGAGCCAAACTGAACAGTTTATTATCGAGGTAGTTGTGCTGTCACAAATAAACCGTAGAAATGTGGTTAAACTTCTAGGATGTTGTTTAGAGACAGAAGTTCCTTTACCGGTTTATGAGTATGTCAACAATGGCACCCTCTTAATTTGATCACGTCCACAACAAAGGTGAGGCATCAGCCATTCCCTGGGAAGCACGTTTAAAGATAGCAGCAGAAATTGCTGGGGTGATTTTCTATCTCCACTCTTCCAACTTCTACACCAATTATCCACACAGAGATGTGAAATCCACAAACATACTTTTGGATGATAGGTGTGTTGCAGTAGTATCGGATTTTGGAGCTTCGAAGTTGGTTCCGGTTGATCAAACTGAACTAACTACGATGGTACAAGGAACTCTTGGGTACTTTGGCCCTGAATACCTGCACACGAGCCAGTTGACCGAGAAAAGTGATGTTTACGGCTTTGGGGTTGCTCTTGTTGAGTTACTAACTGGAAAGAAGGCACTTTGTTTTGACAGGCCGGGCAGAAGAAAGGAGTCTAGCAAGCTATTTTGTTTCTTCAGTGGAGAACAATTTGTTTGATCTTCTTGAAAATCATATAATGGACATCAGAATGGGCGATGATGGTTTCTATGCTACTAAGGCCTGAGAAATCAACTAGTCAAGCACCAGAATGGAGTAATGGGCATTCAGAAAGGCGAACCATGGACAGCGAGATGCACTATCCCTGTCCATCTTGCGTTTGCTTCTAGCTTTTTCTTGATTCTTAGTTGTTAATAAATTTGTTTAAAGATTTGCTATCTTTCTGGCCCAAGAAAAAGCAAATGCCCTTTTGAACTGGTGCTATTTCTAATGCACGATACCAGTGTTTTACGGTGTGGACTTTTCTTTGATGTTTAATTTGGACGATCGCCCTGCCTAATCCTTTATGCGAGGTCTATACCAAAAATCAAATTTAGTTAATACCACCCACCATTGTAAACTTTTGTTAGCTAATAAACTATATGGTAACAGGTATCAGAGAAAATGCTTGGTTTACTTGGCCTTGATATGCTTTTTGTAGTTTGATGTTTACATTTTATACTGCAGGGTTAGTTATGATTTGTGGGGCTATTCGGCTCAAGTTCTTTTTATGTTGGTTAGACTTCAGACCAAGAGCTTCTTCCTTTGAGGCTGTTCAGCGACCGAAGGCAGTATTAGAAGAGACCACGCTCCATGTGTTTATTAGCTTTAGTAGCCGTATTTTATACAGCAAGATGGGTCTGGGAAAATATAGACGACAAAATAAGGGACTTAGAAAGTAGCACTAATAAGAAGAACAATACAGAATGACAAAGCATAACTATGACCTTGACCATATTGGTCAGGACATGTAGGAACTAGAATCACTTAACAAGCAAAATAAAACCGGACTTTGAACTCAATTAGCATAGGATAGGAAGGAGTAAAGAGTCGATGATCCATGATAAGAAGCATATAAAGGAGCTAGCAAGACCACTAAAGGTTTACTGATTGGGACCAGTTGGTGAAGTTCTGAAGTGTGTTATCATCAGCTCTGTAGTGATTTTGTACAAATCGAGACAAATCCAACCATGTGAAGTCCGGATACATCCTTTTCCCTTCACTGCACACAAGATCTTGTGGTGGTCTCACCACCTTGTCTTCTCTTGGACTGAGAAAGAATGCCAACGATTTTCTCTCCTCGTGCTGGTTAACCACTGCCCTATGCAAACAACTCTTATATTTCCCATTTGATAACGCCTACACAGCCAACAAGATAGATAAAAAACGAGTGAGATCAATGGGGATCCACAAGCATGAAACTTACCATTGCCGAAAATGGATTGGAAGCATCCCATAAATTTAGGCCAATTCAAGTTATTCAAACCCAGATCATTTAAAAGCCCAGCCCAGGCTAAAACATTTAATATACAGATTTACAAATTTATAAGAAGTGGGCTTCTAATTTCTAGCATACAAATTTACATCATTTGTGACTCATCCGTCTAATACTAAATGAGACACACTTGCTATTTGATAGAGGTCTATCGTTCAGAGTTTTTCTATTCCAAATAAACATCGCAACCTAATTTTCTACAATTTCCTGATACTGAGTTGTTTTACACCTAATATTTGCTATGATAGGAAAAAGGATCATTTATGGTATCTAATAACTGATAGGAAAAAGGATCCTTTACGGTATCTAATAACTGCTAATACTATTAAAAACAAAAGTGAATCGTAACGTAGGTAGATAGGGCTACAAAGTGGTTGCACCCTGTGCGGCTGTGCGTAAGTTTACTTGAATTTTATTTATTTATTTCAATCTTCCTTCGTTTCTTTTTTTTTTTTTTCCTTAAAAAAAAAAAAAGACAGGATGTAGAAAGTAAGTTATAATATATATTGCCGGCCGCCTACCGTGAAGGTGTCACCAATATTGATGACGAGTGCACCTTGACGAGGTGGAAGAGTCTGCCATACGTCGTTAGTGAAAACTTCTAAACCTCCAACTTGATCTTGGTGAAGTATGGTTATTGAATTTGTATCGCAATGAGGGCCGGTGCCAAGAGTATTCCCTGGCTCTTGACAAGGAGGGTAGAAGTTAGATCTCAATATCGAGCAGCCGTCTTCAAAGAATTTTCTGTAATGTAATCGATCAACTCGCAAACTGATAGCCAATAGTTCCATTATGGCAAGAGATAAATCCATCATAGCTTCACAGTATTTTTGATATACCATTCTGCACGAAGATCAAATTGAGTTCAAATGTAATGTATCTCTCAAAAAAGGAAAAGCAAGAACTTATTAGGGATTTTTTTTTTCTTGAGTAGGGAATATTATCCATAAATGCTCCTTTTGAAAAAAAAAAAATATGAAGAAAAAAAGATAAAGAACTACTTACCCTGTTTGTTCAAAATCATTTCCAAGAGTAGATTTGAAGAAATTCAGCACAACGAGATCTGAACAATTTGCATGGTAACCAAGAGAGAGAGTCTCTTTCCATGGAAGTTTTGATGCATATCGATCAGCATGAGCACCAGAATAACCGCACATGCTGCCTGGCATCCTCCGAGCCTTAAGTTTCTGGGAAGTTGGAAGCTTAAAGAAATGGTCCATGTAATCCTCTGCGTTTCTAATAATATTGGGATCTACTCCATGATTGATCACTTGAAAGAAACCATGCCGTAAGCAAGCATCCTTAATTATATTAGCAGCTTGTTTTGTTGCCTCCTCGTCCCCTTTAAAGAAACCCTCAAGGTCCACCACTGGCTCCAAAAGCTCCTGTTGAGCACTAACTAAGTCCGGCCAAATAAATTCTTTGGGCAAACCAGTTTGTTTGTGCAACAATGAGTCAAATAAAAAAACCTTGCTTTGCTCTTGCAATTTTAGTGGAGAATCCATTGAGAAAGACGAACAAAAGTGAACTTTAGGTAGCGCCGAGACATGGTATTTATGGATGTCAATGCCCAAAAGAAATTCAGATAATAAAAACAACAAGATTTACAAATTTGGTAATCGACAATCAATAATATTATCATTTTTATTATTTTAAAAATCACAGTATTATAGGCTATTAAAAAAAAAGGGAAGCAAACTAATTAATTTAGAAAGTGTTTGGTATCATTTTTGGTTTTTTTTTTTTTCAGTTTTCCATTTTTCAATTTTTTTATTAGTTTTTAAAAACTTATTGGATTGACTTTTTTTCAAGAAATGTATTTAATTTCAATCAAATAATTATATTTAATTTCATCAAATACTTGAATGATGAGGATTGATTCTTGGGTTCGTCAAACTTGAATTTCTCTATCCTGTTTGGACCCCATCCTCTATTTCGCTCCAAACTTGGGTGCTCAGGGTCCACTTCTGGTCCAACACCGAGGTGGTCAGAGCTACTCTAGGTTCGAATCCTAGTGTTGCTCTTCAAACTCGATCCAGGTTTGAACCCTGGGTGTCCTGGATCCAATCTCTGGCCAAACTCCGACCACTCCAAACCAGAACTAGGCTCGAACCCTGAAACTCCATACCCGATTCTGGCCAAAACTCTGGACGTCGCAGATCCAAAGCCCAGGCACTGATTATTTCTATATATGCTAGAAGTACAAAAAAAAAAAAAAAATCGAAAGCTTTTGAAAATCCTTTTTTTTTTCAAAACTTGTTGTTAATTTTATTTTTTGAAAACAAAAAACAAAAACAAACAGGAGTTTTTTTTTTTTTTTCAAAACTTGAAAACAAATACGATACCAAACGGTCCCTTAATTATGTAGTGACACGTGTGTATATGATTTGGACCACTTTTTAACTTGTAAAAATTCATTTATACCAATGTTTTAGTGTTTTGAATATTAATAAATAATTTCAGATGATATGATTATGAATATTCCATTAATTTTAAACATATGTGTGGTCTAGTATAGTAGGAAAAAAGATAAACATACCTGCTTGTATTTATATAATACATAATATTTCTTATATATTTTTAGATTTTTAATTGCATCTCATCTCTTTTAAAAAGTTTTAGAAATATTCAATTTGTTCTTTTGATCAAATTTTTCAGATTATAAATTTTTTTGATCGAAATGTCCTCTACTAAAATGTAAATTAAAAAATCAAAAAAAAAAATTAAAGTCACATGAACTAGATATTCTATTTTTTAAGTTTTTATATTTTATATTTTATATTTTTTCAATTTCAATTAGGGGTATTTTGGTTAATTTTTTATTTGGTTGAAAAATTAGACCTAAAAGATAGATTAAATATTTCAAATACCTTTAGAGACACATGAGATGTAATTAAAAATTTAAAAATAGACAAAAAAGCATTAGGTATTATATAAGTATATATAAATAAATATGTTTAATAAAAAAAAAAAAAGACTTAACTCAACAATTGTTTTTTATTTTCCTACCCAACATAACGGTTGGTTTGGTGGGGATCAGATAATGAAAATGTGCTTGGGGCGTAAATGGATTTCTTGTGTCAAAAATGTTAAAACGATGATAATACAAAGATATATGCTTACCTATAATTTCCTAAAAATCTATGTACGTTGTAATTACCTACCAATTAAAAGTGTTTATAGAATATAACTGGTAATTAATGTTGGTGATGATTATGACATGACAACTATGGCAAAACACGCTGATGAGGCCTGAGGGTGACAACTGAGGTGTGGCCGTGATTGTCATGATTATGATATTTATACTTTCCAGGCAAAGGGTATATTATTCTCCAGCCATTTCCTTGTGGGTTGGAAAGAAATTTATTTTTCCTTTTTTTTTCTTTTGGTTTTTAATTTTTTCAGCTGAGTTTTAGCACATGGAAGCACTAATCTATTTTTCTAGTCCTGTACATATGTCATCAGTATTGAATTGAAATGGTGGTGTAATTTGCACGACGGCAACAAAAGGGATTCCTATTGTACTGCTCAAAAACCTTTTTTTTTTTTTTTATAATCATGATCGATTACTGGATTTATTTCCTTAAAAAGATTTAAGAATAACGTGATAGCATATTGGATTTAAAAAATGACATATATGAAAATAAATCTTCCTAAAGATCAAATAGATATGACAAGTTATTAAGTGATGGATTTGATTCTATGTATTTTAAATGATTGATTAATATTATAAATTAATTTGTTATCCATCTTGGATAGTGAGAGTTTTAAATATAATTTACATAACAATAAGATATAAGTTTCATCATCATGAATACAACAATCAACCAATTATGCAGAATAAAAGATATAAATTTATTATATCCATAAATCTTAGAACTTCATAATTTTCACATAATTCAAAATAAATCATATTTTAATTTATGTTTAGACATTGATTCATGCTTAAACCTTGATCAATGCCATGAAATAGATAATATGTAAAGAATTATATCCTTATTTCATTAATTATGATACATATAATTGATAATAATACATATATAAGTCGGAGACTTGAGTCAAGACTATAAAAGAATAAGTTGGTCCTCTCTTTGGCTCTCAATGAAAATTACAGAACAAAAGAAAAACTAAAAATTTCAATTTTCATCACCGAATGAGAGATCAAAAGAGAGAAACCATTCTTTACATATTATCTACTTCATAATATTAATCAAGATTTTAGCATAAATCAATGTCTAAACATGAATCAATTTATGTTTACTCTTGTTCTGTAATTTTCATTAAGAGCCAAATAGAGGACTAACTCGTCCTTTTATAACCTTAACCCAAATCTCCCATCAAGACTGGTACATGTATCATAATTAATGAAATATATATCATAATTGATTATATACTCTTTAAATATACATGTATCATATTTAATTAGATACACTTTAACTATATATGTATCACAATGATCAATACATGCATCGTATATATATATATATATATATCAAATCAATATATGTATTTTATTTAATTAGATACACTTTAACTATACATGTATCACAATTACATAAATACATGTATTAAATTCATATATATATCTTAATTAATTAGATATACTTTAACTACAACGTATGATATAATATGATTCACATTCCATTATGTATTTTAGATACATTTATCATGTGGGTCATAATTAATCTTACGGATAGAATTAAATCATTTCTATTTAAAAGCTCGTGTAATATTGTATGTCTATTAAAATATATCGAATAAAAAAATAATAAACTTAATAATTTTTTAATTAAAATCTTGTATTTAATTGATTCTTTCTTGTGTTTTTCATAATTTTCAACTGAAAAAAAAAAACACGATTTGTTCTTTTATACGCGTTGATTCTTAAATAAAAACATGCAACAATGAAAAAAAACGATATTTAAAATGTTTTGACTCAAATTTATGATTATAGCCTTGGTGGAAATTTATTCATATTGCATTAAAACCTCTCAATGCCATTCTCTGACTAAAAAAATAAAGATAAAATTATTTCTCTTTTATTCACTTAGTAAAAAATCCAAACAATAACCTATTTACCTTCCCTCCCTTCTCTCCCTCTTCCGTGAGAAATTTCCAAATACATTGTTGATTCAAATTAAATGAATACAATTTATAAAAAACGATAAGAAGGAAACTAGGGAGTAGATTCGAATTTCCAAATGGTCATGTCACAGTTGTGAAAATAAAAATTGACATAGTATAAAAATATAGAATAGAGACATAAATACTATTTAAAAAATAATAAAATTTTATTTTTAAAATCACATCTAATAGTTTAATTTTTTGAGTTAATATGATTTTGTACGAGTCCTTTCGTAAAAAGTTTATTTGTCAAATAATTACAAAAAGTTTTCCATTGATGATCTTGGTTGAAAAAATATCACTTTTTTTTGTAGTGTGATGCATAGACACGGATGCTATCCTACAGTCTGTGTAATTACTTAGAGTTGTTTTCCACGGACAAATTAAGAAATTTGCAAAAAAAAAAAAAAAGAAAACAGCCAGGGCCATTGCAACACTGCCTATTAGCATATGTGAAAAATTTTTGGTATGTAAATGTTTAATGTTTAAGAAATTTTTAAAAATACTCGATGATCTAAAAACCTTTTAAAAGTTGATTTAATTTTTGTTAATACGTGTGAAAACTTTTGGTTCAAAATACCAAACACAAATTAAAAAAAAAATAGTTTTTTTTTTTTAATCAATGATAAGTCAAATTAAACGAAAGGATAATATTTGTCAAGAACATAATAATTTGATAATAAAATTGATGAAATTGACGGTATAGGCCTCAATTTATCACAATTTCAATAATTCAAGGGCAAAAAAATGCCATTAAACCTTACACAATCATTTTTCTTCTAAGTCAACCTCAAGCAATTGGTCTAGTGGTCAAGGAGATTTGCTATTTTTCTTGACTTGCTATTTATTAAATTATTCTGAATATATTAGGTTGATGTGAAAGATGTATTTTTAAGGTTGTTCAAAAAAATATTCAGTCTCGTTTGATATGTAAGTCGGCCGAAAAATACTTTAAAAAAAAAATTGTAAATTCATTTCACTAAGTACAATATCGTCCCGAGGCACAAGTTTCAAGTTTTTCAATCGATAAAACTCGATCTACAAGAAATCACATAGATGTGTTTTCAAAATATAATTAAATATGTGTGTGGTTAAGAATCATGGTAGTTAAAATTAATTTTAAGGTAAATAACTTAAATTTGTTCTTATATAACACACATTAAGTTTATATATATATATATATATATATATATATATATATATATATATATATATATAATTGGATTCTATCTATTTCGAAAAATTTTGAAATGTTGAATTTGTTTTTTTTAATCAATTTTTCTAATTGTGAATAATTTTTTGACCAAAATATTATTTATTAAAAAAAAATTAAAGTTATATGATCTGTTTGTTTCATTTTTAAGCCTTTAGATTTTTTTTCCCTTTGTATTTCATTGAGGGATATTTTGATCAATTTTTTTCATGATCAGAAAATTTGATCCAAAGAATCAATTAAATATTTTTAAAATTTTTTAAAGACAAATGAGATGCAATTAAAAACTTAAATATAGATAAAAAAAAACTCAAAATATCATATAAAAGTAGATTAGGCTATTTACTCTTGATTTTATTTTTAATTTTTTTAAATTTTAAGGAGGCTAAAATCGATTCAAAGAAAAGCATAAAACGTATGTGATGTGATTTCAATTACAATTCCTCCATCATATACTATCCCACCAATGTGAAAATCTTGAGTTTAGATCATAGGATAGATCAAACGTGCAGCAATTTTCCGAAAGAAGTGATTTCTTATCTTGAGTTCTATAGCCCATCTTTATTTACCCATCACTCATTGAAAAAAAATAAAAAAATCAACGGACACGAAACATTATGCAAAAGTATTTACTGGGCCATAAGTATTGGGCTCTCACCTTATATGGCGTAATGTGGCCAAAACCCTAATTTGCATTTCTTTTCCACAAAACCAAACAACAAGTGGAGTTGGGCTCAGGACACAGGGAACCATATTTGACGCAGGCATAACGTTTCCCTATTTTCAAATCAGAACAGGGAACGCCATCATTCAGTCTTTAACTTTTACCCGCAATTATGCATAGTGAGATGTCGGTTTCGTGTAATTTGGGGGAACGCATCCAAAATATAATGCTGGATCTCTAAATTTCAAGGATCTTGGTGGGGTCGATCGGTATTATCCCAAATCGCCATGATATTTATAGTTCTAGACACGAATATAACCATGATATCGAAAGTTTCAGCCAGTTCGTTGGGCTTTCTGATAGCCATAATGATAGGAATTATTGTAGGCCTTCAACGTCATTTTCACAGTTTTTACCCAAGTAAGTAGAGAAATTTCTTTAAAGGATGGTAACTTTCAAATCAGGTACTTGGAGAGCAACAGGACGCCTGTAGTGGCTCAAATTTTGCCACGGGCTAATAGTAGACAAGGTAATCAATCAAGTTAGAATACGCTCTATTTTTAGCAATAGAGGCTTTCCTTTGTTGTAGACCCCTCCCTTCACCATTTGTCTTTTGCAACTGGTGAAGATCGTCGTTTGTCCAGTTATTAGGCATCTGACTTACCACAGAAAACCATGTAAATGCGATTCCCTGCCCTCAGCTTCCGGCCCCTCCCCAACCTCTTGTTCTTTTCGCACATCTGTGGAATCTTTCACTGTGCCCTGCCTCGTTGCAATACAAAACTTTCAAAGTAGCTTTATGTTGGATTTGGATTGAGGTTAGATTGATGGGAAAATCCAAGTTTAAAGCCCACTTAAAAGGAGTTTTGAGAAAATTATTATTACAGAGTTTTATAAGGGTCGTCTTTACTCGTCAATTTTTTTTTAAAGTTTTCTGGAAAAAAAATAAATTAGAAAACTAAAACTAAAACTAAAAAAAAATCTTCATTAATTGAATAAGAAAACTCTTTCATTGAAAATGCTTGTTTTCTAATTTTTCAATTTTCTAGAAACCGGAAAACATCCAAATGATTGTTTCAAATTCTCAACAATAAAAAAACAAGGATTTTGTTTGATTTACTTAATGTTTTATACCATTCATTTTTATTATTTTTAAGGCAAGACAAGCAAGACCTTTATTTTCTATTTTGAAAAATTTATACAAAGTAAACATATTTTCTTAATTTTTCATAGAGAAAAGTTTTTAAAATTAATAAATAAACTAAAAAATATTTTTTAAAGTAAAAATCACCTAAAACTCTTTGAACATCTCTTTGTAAAATCTATCTCGACATTATTAGTGGCATTTGAGAGGTGAAATTAAATTTATTTTCCTCATGATTGCGAATTGACAGTCAGAACACACGATATAATTACAAAGAAATCTAAAACAAAATGCTTAATCACTGTCCATTCTACTGCTTTTCCACCCTCAAATTATTGTACGTTCTACTATTAAGATCTAAAGGTTTATCTCAACGTCTTGGAGTAAACGTATTTTTCCTAATTATTTCATTGGTGGTGATTGATTAGATTTTATTGTCTTTATTACATTGCTTTCAGAGCTTTTTTTATTATTTTTGTGCTTTGGTTGATTTTGCATGATTGTTTGTATGAGTTTTTCAGTTTAAAGTACTATAGTCATGAATGTCAATACTATGTACACAGCACCGAATGATATGAAATTTATACCACACATACATTCAACTTTTGATCTAGCATTAAGAAAGTTGTTTTAATTTAACAGAAACCAAACTTTAATTGCCATTACTCATGGATAACTAGGTATAATTATTCTTTAATGGTATTAAATTTGGGTTGATTTGGTGTAAGAGAGAGCTTAATAATTAATTAATGATTAAACGTGTTCGACATTAATTTAGTCCAAAAAGTGATAAATTTAGTTTCAATTAATAAGAAAACTAATCCAAAAATATCTCACTATATATATATTACATTGACACTTTTATAAAAATTAAATCAGAACAATTTCATGTGAAAATGCCTAAAGAGATTCTGATATTCAATTTTTTTTTTTTTTATCAAGACGATGAATTAATGGACATCTTTTCAAAGCTTACAGTCTCATATTCTTGATAATTGTTGTCAGAATTCTTTTTGTTATTGATGAATATATGTAATGTAAACTTTCAAACGAAACAAACATCACCTAAAACAAAGATTTAGTTAAAAAGTCATGGATTTAATTTGGATTGATATCCAATTCATTAATTCAATTTTTTATCTTACCTATCAAAATAATATTCTATTCATTATCCATTAAAAAATTATCATATAAATCTTTATCCAGATCCATACTAATTAACCTACTTATTTAATACCCATTAAATACTCGTTAAATTTAATTTATCAAAAATATTTATTTTAGTCTCTATAATTTTTAAGAAAAGTTTTTTTATCCTTAAAATTTAATATTTTTTTAGCATTTTAGTCATTTATTAATAAGTTTTTTTTTTGTTCTTAAAGTTTTTGAAAAAATATTTTAATCCTTAATTTTTAAATTTTATGCAATTAGATTTATGTATGTTAATAAAAAAATTTAAATAAATTAATGGGTATTAATAGAGTAAAGAGTGAGTATTCATATCCAGAAATTATATTAATAGGTATATATTTTTTTTATTCTTATTCATTTCAATACCTATTAAATATTTTTAATAAATATTTATAGGATAAGATAAAACGAGTATTTAATTTATACCCGTCTCATTGCCATGCCTGCACAGGATCCAAAGTTGGTAACTTCATGTTACACCGTATGAGACCAAGCAAAATCAATCTAAGTGGTGCTTTCATGCTTTCCTAAACACATGGGAAGGAAGGGCAGGACGATAGACAGATAATGTTACAAATGAAAAAAGGGAACAAGACATGACAAAGACAAAAAAATAAAATAAAGTGAAGAGCACAACTATGTGGAGTTCTCGACAATGCTGATCAATGGAAACCTTAATATATATGAGAAGGAGAGGACGAAAGGCATATGGAAACCTTAATGTGAGTAAAGATTCCATGATAAGAGCACTAGAGATTTGCTGATTGTGGAGAGATGATCCATTTGGTGAAGTTCTGAAGGGTAGCGTCATCAGCTCTGTAGTACTTCTGTGTGAAATGGAGCAAATCTGACCATGTAAAGTCTGGGTACATCCTTTTCCCTTGATTGCACGCAAGATCCTGTGGTGGTCTCACCACCTTGTCTTCTCTTGGGCAAAGAAAGAATGCCAACGATCCCCTTCCCTTGTACTTATTGACCACTGCCCTGTGCAGGCAACTCTTGTAGGCCCCATTCGATAAGGCCTATGCATCCAACAAAATCAGCAAAAGCAAGAGGAACATACAAGAATTACACGCATGACTTTCTTTCCTTTTGAAAGTTAATTATAATTTAGTTAATGTAGTTTGTCAAAACAAATAATTAATCTTTGTAGTATAAAAATAATTAAATCTATTAAAAAAAAACAGACAGGGAAAGAGAGAAAAAGAACTGACCCATTTTTTTTATGAATAGTAAATGTTCCTCGATGCAAAATTTATAAATATAAAAAGAATCCAGGGATGATTTTTTTTTTTTTTTTATGAATATAATCCTTGCATGAAATTTACCACACATGTTGGATAAATATATAATTCATAATTCACAACTATGTATAAAAAGGACTGACCCATAAACGCTTAATATAATAGAAATATTATAATCTATTACCAATACTAATAAGTAAATTCAACTCCACTTCGAATTAAGAAAAAAAATAATCCATATTGATAAAATTAGTAGTTTCTATAAAGTACTCTATTTTTTAGAAATTCTTAAATATAGGATGATCTTATTTTTTATTATCATTTTATTTATAAAACATATAAAATCCAAAATAATATAAAATAAGCAACTCAAATCACTCCTAAACTATATTGGTACTTTATTTTAACCATAAAAAATCTAAATAGTTTTAAAAACAAACCAGGAATAAACAAGATATTTAAATTTAAAAATAATTAAATTACATCAAAATTCATAAAATTATTTAATTGAATCCTTAGTTAATTTTTTGTTGCTTTAAATTATTATTTTTTTACTCTTTTGGACAAACACTAGTAATATTTAAAAGGCAATATTTTCTTAAAAAATAATTTATAAATTTTTTATTTATGTATGTATTGTTAATTTATATTCATATCACATATAATTGAAAAGAATTATTTAAAATTAAAAAAAAAAGTTCACAATAGTATCAAGTGACATGAATTTTTTAATTAATCATTATTTTTAATAGTTATATATATTTATCCTAACTGTATTATAGTTATTAGTTTATAAAAGATAATTCAATTTGTGTCCCTAATTTTACTTTAATCTAATTAAATTTATTTTATATGGTTCAAAAATAGAAAAAATAATTTAACTATAATAATCAAAAGTTATATATATAAAATTATTTGAAAATCAAACATGTTTGTTCAATAAAAACATTCAAATTTATTTAGTTAATAAATAATTCTAAATAATCAATTAGAAATTAGAAATTAGAAAAAAAAATACTACAAATTAGTTAAATAAGCCAAGAAATTAACTAGTGAGATATAAATATATTGAAAAAATATATATAGAAAGCATGCGAACTATAGGTAGACCAGAATTATTATAGAGTGTTTGTCGTTTAACGTGAGCATTGTCAATTAGACAAGAACTACTGAAAAAAAAAAAAAAAAAAGTTAGACAAGAAAAGAAAAATAGCTCATGCATTTTATAATAGTAGATTTGTTAAAGACCTACCATAAAGGTGTCCCCAATGTTGATAACAAGGGCACTTTGACGGGGTCGAACCGTCTGCCATATGTTGTTTGCAAAAACTTCAAGACCTCCAACTTGATCCTGGTGAAGTATGGTTAGCGATGTTGGATCGCAATGAGGTCCGGTGCCAAGAGTAAGACTTGGCTCTGGACAAGGCGGGTAGAAGTTACATCTCATTATAGAGCAGCCATCCTCAAAAAACCTTTTATAATGCCATCGATCAACTCCCAAGCTGATTGCCAATAGTTCCATTATGGCGAGGGACAAATCCTTCATAGCTTCGCAATATTTTTGATAGACCATTCTACAAAAGGGACAGATTGTAATTATTTGAGTGTCAATTAATACCTGTGTGAGAAGCAGTAATTTAAAATTATATAGTTAGTGAAGTCATTTAATATATGCTTCCGTAATATACGGTTCAGAAGTCTGGATGAAAGAAGATAAAAGGTGCTGTAATGTACCTTAGTTATGCAATAGATGCACAAGCCAAGGTACTACATATATCTAATGTAAGCTAGATATTATATTCTGTATCGATCTTACCCTGTTTCTTCAAAATCCTTCCCTATGGTAGACTTGAAAAAGTCTATCACAATAGAGTTGGAACAGTTCTCATGATAGCCAAAAGATAGTGTCTCTTTCCATGGCAATTTAGACGAATACCGATCAGCATGTCCAGTAGAATAACCCCACATGCTACCTGGCATCCTCCGAACCCTTAGTTTATCGCAAGTTGGAAGCTTAAAGAAATTATCCATGTGTTCATGGGCGAGGCTAATGAGATTGAGATCAACCCCATGATTGATCACTTGGAAGAAACCATGGTCCAAGCAAGCAGCCTTAATGATATCAGAAGCTTGCTTTGTTGCCTCCTCATCACCTCTAAAGAAGCCCGCAAGGTCCACGACTGGCTCCATGAGTTCTTGATGAGCGCCAACTAAGTCTCGTTTTGGCCAAACAAATCTTCTGGACATGCTGGTTTGTCTGTTCAGAAAAGACGAGTCAAACAATAAAACCCCCTCTCCAACCTTGAAATTCTAAATAAGCTGGCTAGAGAAGTGTAAAGGCACTTATCATTCGAAAAACAGGTGACAGGGAAGAATAATAATAGGCCAGGAAATGGCATTTATGGAAAAAAAATTTGCATGGACCAAATTCATTTGAATAAGTTATTGTTATAACGATGAGAGAATTAATTATAGATAAAAATTTTGTCGAATTATATATCTTTTATGGATCTATAGGGTTTAAATCTTAAAATTATACTTATTATAAGAAATTAAACTTTATTGTTTTTTTTAATAAAATTATTCATATCTTTAATGTGAGATAAGAATATCTAAAAAAAATCTCAATAAATAAATAAATAAATTTGAATCAAAGTCCTAGAACTCAATATTGTAGTGCTTGCTATCGTAAATCCTCGTGGTAATTAGTATGATTGGGTTTGGTTAATCGCAGTTTGTTCAATTGCAGGGAGGAAAAGAGAGAGAGCAAATAAGTGAATCTGCGTCTAATCTTGGGCACCTTTTCAAGTAACTTTGTGGTCATTTTAAAAAAAATATATATCGTTTCAATTTAAAAACTTAAAATATTAATTGAGATTTTTAAAATTATTTTATATTATTTTTTATTATATATTTTTTAAGTAATAGTAATTTAAACTTAAAATTTACATATAATAATAAAGTTTGAAACCGTAATTGTTTAATAATTAAAATTCTAATATTATGTAAATCTAAAAAACTAAAAACTATTGAGTGAGTTACATAATTGATTTTAAATTAATATGTTAATAAACATAACTCACACTGAATGGATACCAACTTAAAAAATAATATAAAAAATATTGAATGAGTCACTCACCATGCCATCATCCCTTCTTTTTTTTTTTTTTTTGTAAAAAAAAATAAAAGTAAGAAAATAAAGAGAGGGACGTGGGTTTAGAACTGCCCAGGAGAGCATACGAGACCACATACCAGGCTTGGCTGCCTAGTAAATAGGAAAAAAGAAAAAAGAGAAAATATAATTATAAAAGAGGGAAAAAAGAAAAAACCTAAACCAACCTATGCACCCATATAAATACACTATCCTACCCCACACTCGTAAACAAACACGTAGACAAGGGGAACCTCAGCGAAAAAAAAAGGCAACACTTAACTAACTAATACAATCAAAGAGAGAAATGAAGAGAGGAGGAAGGTTCTGCCAGCCAGCTGTCGCCCGAGCTCCACTATTGACACGCGCCACGCCATCGAAAAGTTGTCAAGCGACACGATTTCGACACCGAATAGCCTCCCACGCAAAGTGAATAGGTTGCAGAAGCTAGGAACACGCGCCAGCGTTAGCCCCTCTAATTTGCCTCTTTTTGTCCAGCTTGATCCTTGTTTCTTTTCTAATTTTGTGTTTTAACCTTTGTTTAACTTTTTAAAGTATGTAATCCCTTGATCTTTCAATTCTTGATTTGATTTCATCTAAATTTTGTATGCTGCATGATTACTTTATTTGTTTATGATCTATTACTGATTCTTTTGCGATTTTGAAATTTTTGAATAATTTATTAAATTTAAACTAAGGCTAATTGGTTCGATGGTATCACATACTATCGGTTAAACGTCGACTAATATCTCAATTTTAATTTTTAAATTCAAGTACTATAACTATTTTTTCCTTTATATTCAAGTCAGTCGATCTCATTAACCATATTTTAAGCTCACGTGACAAGTATATAATGCTGGAATGATTGAACAGCCTTTTTCCTTCATTTGTAATCAAAAGCAATATGAATAATATCGGTTTGTTGGATGCTTTATTGTAGGAGACTAAAGACCATATCTTTTAAAGGAAAATCAATTTGTGATGACTTGGTGCTGGCATCTAATAAAGGGAAATGTGTGATGTACAGGATCATAAACGAGAAATGGTCAATAACCCATCCGAAGGGAGAAAAGACAATGAAAGAAAATAATAATGCTTGAGGAATGGAAAATTGGAGAATTATTTTAGAATGAAAAAGAAGAAGATAAAGCGAATAATAGGGAAAGGAATTCAATTCGTTTTTTTTTAATTTAGTTTAGGGTTAATGGGGTGGGGTAATGAAGTCTTTTCCCATCTTTGTTAAAAATCTTAATGCTTTTTTAATATTAAAATAATTTTAAAGCTTTTTTTTTTTTTTAATTTCGAGTCGTTCTATCGTAATACTTAGGATTCGTATAACAATGTGTCAACTCCCGATTGGTTACTATTAGATTTAACTTGCTATGTAGGATGAAAACCAAACGACATCATAACGGAGAGTCCGGATCAACAAATTTATAAGAGTAGAGTCAAACTAAAAAATTATAAAGGGTCTCAATAAAAAAAAAAATCAAATTATATAATGTATGAACATGGGGTAAACTCGATAAAAAAATATATAAAAGATGCTAAATAGGTCATTCACCATAAAGCTTTAGTCTTTTGATGGGTAGTTTATTCAACATATTTTATATTACTTTATAATTATTTATTTATTTAATGTGAGATATATTCATTAACACCATGGTACTAAAAATTTTCTCAAGTTAGGTGTTATGGCTAAAAATATTATTCTTTCCAAGAGAAAGCTCTTTGAACCTTAATATGTGAATAAATAGACAGACTTATTTTACTAATCAAATTTGTGGGTAAGTTTACAAAGTACCAAAAAATCAAAGTAAATAAACAACAATGATGATATTTTTGCATAATTTTCTTACACAACTCACTTACCAAAAAATATAGACAATTGGATTTATAAGAGTTGTTAACAAGATTAACTTATTTAATACATGAGATACCCATCCAATAATTAATATTTTTTTAGGAAATAAATTTTATAAGATAATTATACAAGAACATCATAACTAAGAAAACTAATAAAACATAAAAAAAGCGAGTTTATTTAACATAATTTGAATATATGGAGGAGACTTGAGAAAAACAATGAGGTAGGCCCCTTTTTATATTCAATTAGATCAAGCAATAAGGCCTAAAACAATCTAGCCAACAACTATTTGGATACTTGTCAATAAAAAAGACTTCGAACAACTTAAATTAACTAAGCTTAAATAAGTGTATCTTATTAACAATATTAGGAAATCAAATGAAAGCAACACTTTTCTTCTCGCATTTGATTCAAACTAAACGACATATGGCACTTTAACATTTTCATGATAATAATCTCTTCACAAAGTAGGTTTCGTGGTAAGTGGATTCTATATGGTGTCTTTTGATCATCCTCGAGTCGATGGATCAATGAACCATGATTATTCGGCCATGTATATTGATCTTTCGTTAGCCTTTTTCTAAATTATATCCATTCATCCCATGAGCCAATTAAGATATTTATTTATTTGAGATTGATTAAGATGTTTGTTTATGATAGCTAATAATGTATTTATTAGCCTATGTTTTAGATGTTTCAAAGGTGTTCCTCAATGATGCAAATTCATTATACTATTTTTTTAATGAATATTTATGCACGAGTAACACATAGATTGTAATCTTATAGATACAATATTGAATTAATTATAATTGAATTTTAAAATGTTATGAAATAATGAATGTTCATGTGCTTTTCATATACCCACTATTCATAATTCTTAATATGATTCAATTTACCACTCAATATGAGAAATTAAAAGGATGATGCAATTAATTCAAAAATTTATGTACTTTTAATGGCTTATAGTCCATTTCAATTCTCTTTCGATCTTGAAGTCTATGAATAAGCTTGATTATTTATTAGTTTATGTACAAATATTTTATAGAGATTGAGTGTAACACCCTCAACCTATGACCTAATAAGTTGAGAATATTTCCGCCGTTAGCCATATTCGAAGTGCAATGAATGTAAGCTAACAAGACACTACGATCTTATTGTAACGTATGTAAGAATATTTACATGGCAAAAATCTTTTAATGACGTTCGAGTCCTATTTCTTACTTCAATTTCGCTATAAATTTTTCACGTTTATGTCGTCTTTATTTATCATGATATTTTATTTTAATTTATTTCATTTTACATGTTTGCTAAACTTCTAATCATGTACGTATGCGAGTGGATAATTTAAAGTAATTATACTACTATTACGATATTGTTATTTATTATTACCGAGTCGATTACACACTTTAACTACTTACATACATGATCGATTCTATATCAACTACTCGTGTAATGGGTCTATCCGGAAGCCAAGCCTTCATCCAAGCTACATGCGTTTGATGCTTCCCTCGGTAGTCGACTTCGTAGAGAAGTAAGCCGTAGTATCTTATTTATTTACACCACAAGGAACTGTATGAGCTACGACTCGGTAAGTTAACATATCCATGTAGTGTACTATATGTGTATGTATGCATAAGACAACGATATGCATAATGAATCCTTTTTCCTTATGTCATAAAACATTTCATAAACGAGTCTAGATATCCCTTTTCTATCTTTGGACATGTCTCATTTAAGTACTTCGGGGTTTCCATCACATATGTCCGGCAAACCGGACCCATCCACGGACATGCCCTACCGAGCCTCTAAAAGTGCACGTCCGCACTTACCCGACTCCGAACCATTACCATTACCATATGGAAAACCCATGAAACCCATCCTCATAAAAATCCTCAAAGTCATGAAAATCCTTTTCTTTAAAATACTTCCGATCACTATCGAAAACTCATAGCATAAAATACGTTTTCATGACTTAATATTTTTCATGAGCTTTGGCATGCATATGCATTTTGAATGACAATGCATGCTAATAATGATACTTAAGTACATGTCCTAAGTGGTCGTATAACCATGTTATGAAAACACGAATAAATCGGACAACATAACGACATAAATAACATTAATCCTTATCTAGCGAGTACAATCATCATTGGTACGTCGGTTACCATAACCATAATTCTCATTACCAATCACAACTCAAGCATAATCATCATTCATTAATCATGGCAT